CTCCGTCAGAGGGTCTGGTGGTTGCGTTGTCGGCTGTTGTCAGCTGTGGTCGGCTGTGGTCGGCTGTGGTCGGCTGCGGCGCTGTCTTATTGGGAATTGCAATAGATCTGGCTCCGTTAGAGGGTCTGGTGGTTGCGTTGTCGGCTGTGGTCGGCTGTGGTCGGCTGCGGCGCTGTCTTATTGGGAATTGCAATAGATCTCGCTCCGTTAGAGGGTCTGGTGGTTACGTTGTCGGCTGTTGTCGGCTGTGGTCGGCTGCGGCGCTGTCTTCTTGGGAATCGCAATAGATCTGGCTCCGTTAGAGGGTCTGGGGGTTGCGTTGTCGGCTGTGGTCAGCTGTGGTCGGCTGTGGTCGGCTGCGGCACTGTCTTATTGGGAATTGCAATAGATCTGGCTCCGTTAGAGGGTCTGGTGGTTGCGTTGTCGGCTGTTGTCGTGGTAGTACAACTGTAGTACGTGGAATAGCTGGGGAGCTGGAAGCTGAGAACTGGCGACGTTGTAGTACAACTTTAGTACGCGGAGTAGCTGGGGAGCTGGAAGATGAGAACTGGCGACTTGGTAGTACAACTTGAATACGGGGAGTAGCTGGGGAGTGGGAAGATGAGAACTGGCTTGGTAGTACAACTTTAGTACATTATGCCCCACATTGCGGACGTGCGACGACCGCTGGTGTTATTGGCAAGTTGTGGCTGCGCACACCTGTGTGCACAATACCTCGTACATCTGTCATGCACATCACTCTCTTACACCTTCTCTCCCACCAAGAACTTTGTCGGAAGCTGATATCACTTCCTGACAAGGCCGTGTTGTAGAAGCTATTGAGACTCTGAGCTATTGTGCTTTAGCAACTTAAGACTCGTAAAGATTCATATGTGGGGTTATCCGGTCCTTTATTTTTTGCCCCTTCCTGGCTGGAGACTCACTCACAAGTAGCACAAGCTGACCTGTGCATTCTCTGCACACATGGCGGCTCCATCCGTGCAAAAAGAATCCTTGGGGTTGCATTTTTCCTCTGTAACTCCATGTGCAGCGTTCCAGAACCTGCTTCAGGTTGCAGCTGCAGCGCTTGGGATCGGACCGAGAGACTTTCTGGCGCGGGACCGCACTTCTGCTTTGTTGGTGCTTCGATGAAAGACTTTTTGGAGCTTCTCCTTGTCGGATCAGAGTTCGTGGCAGGGGCAGCATTTTCTGAACTGAAGTGCAGATTTCGTGGCCAGTGCAGCACTTTGTGAACTCTCAAGTGCAGACTTCGTGGTAGGGGCCGCATTTTGTAAGCCCTCAAGTGCAGATTTTGTGGCAGAGGCAGCTTTGTGAACTTCAGGTTCCAGTGCAGATTTCGCATCAGGCGCAGACTTTGTGAGCCCTCAAGTGCAGATTTTGGAGAAGCTTCAAGACAGGATCGCGAATGGACGTGGTCTGCGGGAGCAACTGAGGGGATGAGGGGGGCTCGAGTTCTTACAGAGCCTTCCACTGCGTCCTGAAAGAAGGAGAAAACCCTTCATGGGCTGGATTCATTTCGTTTTGTTTTGACGATCCTTTCTTTTTTGTCTGTGTCCCTGGGTTTTGGTCAACCGGGAAAAGTCTCAACCCACGTCGCATTCGCAAAATTGCTGGTAACCCAGGTTTCGAGCCTTCCAAACCGTTTCGCCGGCCCAAATGGAGACGGTACAAAATTGGCTGTCATATCATGGGATAAACAGTGAGAACAAGCACAATCGGAAATCGAACAAGTGCACGGGAAGTTCTTGCCTTCGCTGGATTTGCATTTGCATTCATTTTTCTGCAGCGCAGCTGCACTATGGAAGAAGAGAATGTCGGAAACAGATCCAAGAGTGAAGTGCAAATGTTGAGGAACCATTCATCATATACAACTTGGTTTGACAAAAAACATTGATTCACGAACAAGAGTTTGTTACACTTGGTTTTGTTCTGTCCTGTTCTTGGGTTTGCTGTGTGTTTGCCTCATCCGGAGACACCGCCTGATCATGCCGTGAGAAGATGGCTGAAGCCAGATATTCGGACGTGTGTGCAAGCCATCAGAAGGGATCAGCATCAGAAGGGATTTTATCGTGTTTTGTATTGTTGCTCCAAATCGATTTGCTCAAAGGCTGCCCACATTGAGGAGGTCCCTCCCCACTTGGAGTGCGCGATTTGCTGGAAGGCACATTTGTCATCAAGAAACGCAGTTCATTTGTGGAAAACCCTTGCGCCTTTCATTGCAGCTACTTCTCGAGCCGGTGTCCGTGCCATGCGGCCACACATTTTGTGCGGTCCCAATTTCAATATCGTGAATCGCAATGAAACCATGGGACCATTGAAGCCTGTCACTATGCCATCAAGGTCAAGGCTGCCTTGCCCAGGCACTTGGATACAGGAGCGAACGTTTGTGCTGATCATTTTGTTTTTGTGAACCTGTTTCTCCACAAGGTTGAATCGGTTTGGTGACTTGAACAAACCATTTTGCTGCAGAAGGAATGTTTGCTCTGTATGCCGGGCACCAGTTCCTCCTGGACAAGCTGTCAATGTGCTAATTCGTTCCTGTCTGAAACACAAGAGATTAAGCAGGTCTTGGTTCCTCTCTTGTATCTGCCTAGGTAGCATGATTGCGGAGCAGTGCCCTTTGATGGTGGAGGATTCCTCAAAAAAATCTGCATGCAGTGTATTTGAAGGTACCCTCGAGCATTGGCACACAGGCGGCAGGAACAGCAGGAGGCCCATGTTTCAACCTCTATTGAGATTGACAATTTGTTGACTTCATTGGATTAGGGCCCTAGGGTTAAACAAACACGAGTCATGAGATTATATGCAGGTGTTTGCCGCGGCCATCTGGAAAGACATATATCATATATATATAGTATGATTCAGCATATTGTGCTAACAAAGCGCTGACAACGCAGCCCACGCTCAAAATGGCAGGTAGATCCGGTAGACTTAGCAAGGGCTGAACTTTTTTGCTTTTGCCCGGATGAAAGCGGCTGCTAATTTGAGTAGAATTACACTCTGAAATTGAAGCTGGCAAACTACTGTTGGCGAGAAGTACATGCAGCAGGAGAACTGGACACAGCGATATCTAAATCTTGCAACACGTTGAACCACATCCCAGAAACATGTTACAAGTTGTCGCAGTCCAGTGGTACTTTAAGTGGTACTTTTCTCATGGCCCTATGAAGGGTTTGGAGCTCTACAGGAAGACAGTACACTGCAGTTATTGGCTTCAAGAGGGTTTCAGCCGCTCTTATACAGATGGCACTTGGCACTTCCGTTTGTGAATGACAGGTCATTCCATTCCACCGCAAAACTCTGAGGGCGAATTGATAGAACCAGATCTGTGAGGAATTGCGCGAAGCAGACGACAATGCTGCGGCTCAGCGCCGGGAAGAGGCACTGTGGTGTCAGATTCAGAGATGCAAATGTGAAGATCCACACTTGCAAGGTTAGAAATGATGGCCCCAGTGACGAAGCCCTGATTTTGCCAATTCTTAGGCGGGCCTTTAGTGACTTGGCATGTTGAAGGGCTCTTGAACATGTGTTGGCCTGCCAAAAATGGTCTGACTATGGTTTGTCCACAAGGAGTGCAGTGCAAGTGTATTATTTTTGAATTATACCAAAAGACAGCCTTTGAGACCCATTTAGCGCAAGTGAAAAGGCATACGTGATATCTGGATCACAACAATGTTTGCAAGGCCGTTTTCAATGTATCATGACTCATGCCCCCCGGCTGATGCTTTGAAGGAGCGTAAAGTTTGCACTTCCGCACAGCCGCACCTCGACTGTGATTTTTCAAAAGAACATGGTTCAAGAGCAAGACTTGACTATTTATGAAGATAGATAAGTCTTTTGCTGCTGTGGATTTTTGCAAGAATACGAGGTGTGGAGCACGATACTTCAGGCCAAGATGAGCTTGCCATTAGCCAAGTCTCTGGAACCTCAGAAGTCTTGCACAACCAGTAGCTTCTTGCTCCTAGTAGCGATGCCAGGAGCCCCCCCTAGTAGCGTCCTTGCTCCTAGTAGTATGGCCAGGAGCCCCTAGTAGCTTTTTCAAGGTACAGTTTGCTCTTCAAGGTGGTCGTAGAGTTTGTTCTTTGCCATCCAACGAAGATTTAGGTTCGCCATCGTTTTGCTGCTTAAAGTTTGAAGGCTTGGAAACCATGCACACATCTCCTTGGGTGCATCCGTCAAGTATTCTTTAAGACGTGAAGGAGTCTGCATGATTATCGAAGATTTTCGGCCTGCAACGGAGCGCCAGCACTCCTCTTTTGTCAGCCAGCTGCAGTATTCGCCACACATTTGATGCACCCAGAATTATGCATTAAACGTAAGGCAGAAGAAGTGTACAAGTTTCATTTTCCGTTTTATTGTGAGCTTGGAGCTCTGCAGGTGAGATTAGTCAGCAAATTTCGGGTGCGGCTCATCGAGCCGCCGCAGTTGCATGAGGCTCTTTTAGCGAAAGTGGCGTCCAAAGCGATCCAGAAGCGTACTGTCCAATGTATGTACGCGCGTGTGCGGGAACACCAAGGGCAGGAGGAGTGATGAAGAAGCGTTTAGTTTCCCAAAAAGTCTAGGAACCAAATCATTAGTGCGAGCTTCCTTGGAGAAGCGTGAGCTATCCTGCGTCCACTTAATAGAAGCTAACTAGTCGCCCTTACTTAATTAAGTAGCTGCCTACTTAATTATGTAAGGAGGCAGAGCAGCGGGCAACAAACAGGTTTTGTTGTCGTTCCTTTTTTCAAGGGGCAGAGATGCCCTTCTCACTTTCCCAAGCAAGCCGTGACAATCAAAGATATAAAACTCAGTAACCTACATTTCCAAGTTGTTGCGTTTTTTTGGAGTGTTTCTTTCCAAAAGGAGCCTAAAGGCTGTTAAGGTTCTTTGGAGGTAGTTGCTGCATTTATCTGACCTAGGGAAGATTCTGACAGAGTCTCGTTCCCCATTGGGGTCTCAGTACACTTGTGCATCGGACATTATCTATTGAGTTTGGAGGTTGGTTTGGCAGTTGAAGCCCTGCAGATTATTCCTTTGTACAGTGGATGTTCCAACAAATTTCACTCTCCGTTTGTTACCCCAAGTCCAAATCTTGCATTGTCATGTCCTGCTGTGGTTCTAAACCTTTCACACCTGCAAATCTTGCTTGCCGACTCGTGGCTAGGTGCTTTGGGGCTCGTGTCAAAGCCACATGCCGCATGCCACATGCTGCTTCTTTTTCTTGATGTTGCATTCTCTTTCGCTCGATTCTTGCTTATCAAGATGCTGCCTGACTTTGCGCGTATTAGGCTTCTTCCCCTACTGTTCTCAGTCATCCTGATGTCACGGGTGCACCCGATAAAGTGGGAGGCACAAGCAAGTTGTGTAAACCATTGAAGCTGTTTGACGCGGGAAGCCCTACTTCAGCTTGATGTGCTTGCAGCTGTGTTGAACCAGTCACTTCAGTTACTGCATTTTTAATACATTCATTGAAGTCTCTGTTTGCGTTGTGCGGGTTGGGCGAACTGGGGAGTAGTTTAGATCAGAAGTGTACTGTAGCAATTGTCTCGAGCATATTACTTGGGACCTGCTCTGTATACTAATGCACAAGCTGTCAGAATTGCGTTACAACATCTGTCGGGGTGTGAGCACTGTGCACCTTTCCCTGGTGAGTGGAATGCCACCAAACCCAATTTTCAGTGGCCGAGGTTTTCCGCAGGCCGCAGGGTGCCATTGTAGGATGTTTTCCTCATGCATCGAATGATGCTCTTCTCTTACTTGCCAGCCTCCAATATACCGGAGCTGGAAGGAAGCTTGAGTCCTGGATTCCTCTGCAGCAGTGTTGTGCATGTTTCTTAGGGTCTTCTTTTTGTTGTCCCAAGCAGAGGTTGGGCAACACGCTCATCCGTGTCTCACTTGTCATCGATGGTTGCGCGCAAGGTAGTATACAATGTTAGATTATTTCAGCGTAATGCAGATGTCCGAAACTCACATCGGGATGCATTGAACAAGATAGAAGACACGGCTTGTCAAAGGGAATGTTATCTTGGCTTGTGAACGTGTGATGAACCTCAGCGGCCTCAGCGTATGGTGCAAAGTCCCCATAAATAAACTCAGGACAGGTTCATTTCCTCCGTAGCATCGGGGCTCGAAAGGTTGGATGGGAGGCGAAGAGCCTCCCAGACTTTGCAATCGGTGCGAGAAATACCCGGTGAGAGAGAAGAGTACCTCTCTGTGCCTGGTGTGTCGGAGGTCATACCAGCTGGGCACTACAATCAATCAGGTTTTCCCGGCAGCAGGTGAGCACCTGGCGTTGGCCTTTCTTGACCGGGCCTTTGATTGGTTGGAGGAAGCGGTCAAGGAGGCGAAGCAGATCCAGCGTGAGTCGGCATTGAAAGGGAGCGACAGTGGTGCTCCCAGGTCGTCAGGTGTTGCGACCGCTGCTCAGGAAGAACCGTTGAAGAGAAAGGTTGTAGAGAGCCCTCAGAAGAAGACAAGTCCTGCCCATCCGCCCAGCCCGAAAGAAGGACCAAAGCCCAAGCCCAGTGAAGCCAGCCGACCATCGTCATCAAGCAGAGGTGAAACCACAGTTGCCGCACGTGTTTTGCCTCCCCCCAAAAGCACCACCTATACTCACCCCAGCCAAGGCCAAAGGGAGTGTTGCATTGGTGGAAAACTCCCAAGTCCCAAGACACACCCAAGCTCAGCCGCCAAAGCCCACCAAGAGTGTCACCGAGAAGGGCTCAGAAGGAGGGCCCAAACCCTTGCGGCTCGCCAGCAAGTCCAAAGCTGGACCATCGAAGAAGGAGTCACCCCAGAAGGACCAGGGTGAAGAGGCTACCGCGGCCAAGTCGGTGAAGAGTGAAAAGAAAAAGAAGGAAAGGGAGAGCAGCAGTGACTCTCCCAGTTCACGTGAAGAGAAGAGCAAAAGAGGGAGGCGAAAAGAAAAGGAGAAGGAGAAGAAGAAGCGGAAGAGGAAACATCTGACTTCAAGCGGGAGTTCATCGGTGACCGGGCCTCGAGTCAGAGAGTCAAAGCGCAAAGAGAGGAAGTGCAGACCTCTGACACCCCCCCAGGCCGAGAAGCCCGCATACACCGCCAGGTCCGCCTCCCCCGCCATCGCCTCCAAGGCTGCCGCCTCCGCCATCGCCTCCACCCAATCCTCCACCAGCCCCGAAGAGAGGTTGGGTAGGCCCCATTCCCTACAGCAACCATCCAAGGTGGTTTGTGGGGGAAAAACAAAGGGATTACGAGGCGTGCGAAGCAGGAGCTGCGTGACAGGCAATGGCGATGAGAGTGAAGAAGAGACCGGCCAGTCGTGCTCCTGCGCCAAAGAAGAAGCCTGCCAGCCAGGAGTCAGAGTTGCCCGTGACCCAGTTCCACTATTTGAAAGAGTTGGCCGCCGTGCAGTTGCGGGGCCTTGGCCTGATCGAACTGGGGGATGCTCACTATTACGAAGGGCATGTGAAGGTTTCAGGGTTCATTATGGGCCTTGGACGGGATGAAGACTTTCTCGAATTTCGTGTTACAGGCACGCAAACCGAGAGGCTTGTGGAGCTGCTGTCGGATCCGATGAAGCGGACAATGCAACTCCACATCTGCCAGGCGGATTGCAGCTGGCAACCGACGGGAGAGGACATCCTTCACGCTTCTGGTTACTGGATTGTGGGTGATCAGAAGCTTCCATGGCACACATTGTTGGAGGAGCGTCCCAAGCAAGTTGGAGAGGTTGACGAGTTGGCCAGGTTGAGAGCATTGCATGAGGAGCGGCAGGCAGGAGCGGTAAGGGAGAAACCTTCTCCCAGTGAGGCCAGTGAGACAAAGAAGAAAAAAGAGAAAAAGAAAAAGAAGGAGTCAAGAGGAAAAGAAAAGAAGACAGGAAAGGGACATGGCGGCAGAAAAGAAGAAGATGAGGACGGCGAGAGTGAGCAGTTGGAGCGCGGGCAGAAGCCGTTGTCCGCGCTCTACAGCAACACCTGCCTGGATCCGGACGTGGAGGTTCGCAGCAAGCTCCTGAAACGTGCCAAGCGTTTCGGGGGCAAGGACTCGAAGAAGAAGAAGCAGTCTTCGAGTGAAGATGGTAGCGACTCCTCGATGAGCAGTGAGTCTGACCTGGAGGAGTATGGTGAAGGGTTGTTTGAGGAGCGGAGGAAAGCGCTGAGATTGACCCAGAGATATCCAGGCAGCTTGACCACACAGACGGTCATGAACATGAAGGAGAGCTTGCTCACTCAGAGCGGCACGCTGTACTCCCAGGACCGCAAGGCCCTACCTCCGATCTTTTCCAGGTATTTCAGGTCGGAGATGCAGCAGCTGTGTTCACCTTCGATGAGCCAAGAGCTCCTTACATTGTGTCAGGGAGCCGATTTGCTACTACGTGGACACCCAGCACGCGCGCTAGATTTGCTGGCCCAGAGGGTCAAAGCCCTGGAACAGCAGATCCATGGTTAGTAGACATTGGACAGTTGCAAGACAACTGGAATTAGTCAGTGCTGAGTCCTCGGGTTTAAGCAAAGGCACTGAAGGTGCTGAAGCGGCAAAGCTCGCCCGTGAAGAACTTCGAAACCGGATCCAAGCGCAAAGGCCCTACGGGTCAGGCAGCCGAGAGAAGGGTGACATTGGTGGCAAAGGCAAGGTAAAGGTGACAAAGGTAAGCGAGAGAAAGGAAAAGTGCGAAATGACATGATAAGCACTCATCCATGCACACAGAAGTTGTACACCAAAGGTGTTACATGAAGGCCGCCATTTAAGCTTGGCAAAAGGATCCGCATGGTAGCGGAGCCGAGGATAGCAATTGCATAGCTCTTGCTTGAGGCTCCAGGAACCTTTGGGGACGTGACCCAATCCCCTGGTTGGTGGCCCGGCCGCGCGCACGTGCGGAAGCCATTAGGTGCCTGGCTAGTGTTCGGCAGAGATCCAACCAGCGCAAGAGTTCACCAAGGAGTACAAGTTTTTCCTTCTTTGCCCGTAATCCCTACAGCCACCTGAAGATCACCGCTTTTGAAGATAAGGAGGGTGAGATCGAGCGGTCATGGCTGGTTTGGATGCATCTCCACTACCGGGATCTCCCACTGGTAGTGGAGCAGGAGGCTTGGTCGATGGAGCCGAGATTGCCCGGAGGATGGTACAGGCAGTTGAGGCAGCCGAGGCTGCAGCAGATGCAGTGTCAAAGAAGCCGGAGGACAGAAGCTGGTTTCGCATCCTTCCACGGCCTCCCTCCTTCGAGCCGAAGTCAAGGGAGGAAGAAATTACTCAGTGGAGGGACTTCTCATGGAGCTTGGAGCAATATTTGTCCTCAATGGATGCGGACTACATCGAGGACATCAAGGAGCTCAGATCGAACATGGACAGGGAGATCACCACGGAGCTGCAGAGCGATGAAGAGCGCAAACGAGGCAGCTTCTTATATGCCTTGCTGGCCTCTCTCCTACGTCACCGACCCCTCTCCTTGATCAAGCAGGTGAAGGATTCAA